AACGTTACGGTACCAGGTTTTTTTAAGTACCGGTGGTACCGAGTACCCGGTCAACCCGGTTCTTGATACGCTATCCGAAAGGTGCGCAGATGTGCTCTCTTCACAAAAGCACTGAGAAGTGGCGACATCAAAAGGAGGAAACACACCAAACTAACAAAAAAACTTTAAAGACAGACACCCAGATCAAATGAAAGAGTTCAAGCAGGTAAGTTTCATTTTAATTTTTAAATTTAGATCGTCAGTGCTTCCCATACATTGATTTATTTGTGGCGGCCCGCCACATCTTTGGTACCGAAATTGGTACCGAGAACCGTGGATTTTCACTGGTAATGGTACCGTGACAACACTAGTCTCCACATTATCCTGTCCTCTCGTGCACTTGTCTTACATGGACGACCAGCCTTTTCGGGGGACTTGAATGAATCAGTGTCATTGTAAAGCTGCAATATTTGAGAAATCTTGGAATAACCAGCTTCTCTTACATTTACATTTAGTCATTTAGCAGATGCTTTTATCCAAAGCGACTTACAAATGAGGACAATGGAAGCAATCAAAACCAACAAGAGAGCAATGCAGTGGCTGAAAGAATCATCCCTTTGGCCTTCATCTGGACCACCTCCTGTCGCAGGGTTTCAGTCACCTTAGAGCGGCTCACCATCTTGCAATCTCAGTGAAAATTACAGGAATGATACCAGTTAAATAGGGTTTGTCATATAATTAAGGATATTAGCACCAGCTGCCAGATTAACACCAATAACTTGGATGTTCCTGTGTTCTCTAACTTTGATCAGAGTTCTTTTTCAAATATCTCATTTAAGTTTTTTTTTAGACTGAGTTTCAGACTACAATTAATTTATGAAATATGCTTAAAAAACTGCCCTTCTACTCCTGTTAGGATAACTTCAAATAGGACTAAGCAGTGTCCTTGAAATTTGGGAAATTGTAGGTTGTTCTCTAATTTTGATCTCCGCTGTATATCAGACTCGAAAGTCAGTGACATCAGGTGTACGACATGCTAATAATATTTACAACAGGTTTAGGATTACATGTTTATGTAGCAGTTGCTACCGCTAAATATAACATGCATTGTTAGGAACTTTCACTACCTCACTTCAACAATGCGACACAGAAAGCTATGTGGATGTGCGCACTCAATCTGCCTCTAAAAGGGAAAGTGGAAACTTGAACCTTTACGCAACGGTCAAAGACGCACACAGAAACAGAAGATTTTGGTGTGGTCGTATATCCGTTCTCGTCTAATCAAAGACATCAAAGCCTGAAACAACAATACAGGCTAAACGGTGTAAATGAGAGTGAGTTTTGTAGTCAAATTCATGTAATTAAAACCTAATTAACTCTGTGAAGTTGCTTTTAATGACATTGTTACTGTTATTACTATCATAATTTATTACTATAACATGTTATCCATTTATAAGACTACTATTATGGTAATTAGGGATTTACCACAATGAAAACATTAATGGGATGAGGTAATTATAGGGTAAACAAAACAATAAATCTCAACTTTGCAACAGATATATTTGAATATTAAAGACAAATGACAGAAATTTACCATGGTAAGCATAGTTTACTCCAAATTACTAGTGATAATACTATACTACACTGAAAATAATTTGGTGCAGAAACAATTTTCACTAATAAATTTCCCAACAATTACAAAAACTAACACTGAATTAAATGTGGAATTCTGAAGCAGAAAAACAAAATTAGTCATTTATTGTAAAACATACTTGACTAATCTTTGTTTTATTTATAACTTTGGAAAATAACGTTTTTTATAACACTATAATAAAACTGTTAAAAAGCAAATGTGTCCTTTACAATACATAAATAAAAATACTGCAGTAGTAAGCTAGTACCACGGTTTACTGGTGGATGCAGGCGGTAATACCATGGTATTTCTATATATATATATTGATATATAAAATAGAGATGCTGTACAGTCATACCATGGTACTTTTGGAAAAGGCATAGAAGATTTTGAAAAAGACCCCATATATATTTATTATGATTGCACTTTCATAACAATGGCATTTTGCCCCTAAATATTTGTAAATATATCTGCTTAGATAAATATTATTGTTTAACAGGTTAACAACAAAAGCAGCCGGAGTGTGTCACATCAGCTCTTACATAACATACATGCTCACCGCACTAAAGACTGAACTCAACCTGTTCATGTGGATTTCAAGACAATCAGGTCTAAAATGATCAGAAAACCTGATCTGAATGAGGGAGGATGATCCATACGTGCACATGTATATCAACAAGATCTGCAACATCATTTTCATGCAGGCTACATTTTCAAAACCTAACTAGACCGCATCGTTGTTGCATTTTAGGTACTTGAGGAATACTATAGTATTACAGTGGACGTGTCACAACACTGGCACTAGTATATTTATACAGTAATAGCTATCTAGACTGATATTTTGAAACTCTATAATGCACAAATATGCTACCTGAACCGATGATTCCCGCCCAAAAACGCCGCGATGCTCAAATATGCCGTCTAGATAGACAGCTCACTAGGTTTTAGGACACAGCCCGCAGAGTGATGTTTATATGTATGTAAATACAGAATTACAAAACACAAGCACTAACCTTAATTGTCCACTCGAAGTCCTCCTGAGGGAAAACACAGGCTTTGACTTGAGAGAATGAGGTAAAATGTGAATTGAATAGATTGCGTCGTCTGAGGAGAATCCGTCTGTCAGTCCATCAGTTAACGAGTTAAAACGTCTCAGGCGCGTTTTAACGCAGATTGACAGGTACTCACGCGGGGGAGATCTAAAACATTTTATCTGTGAACCGTAAACGCGTTTTGATGCAATATAAAAGCCCCGAATAGCGATACAACCGCACGTCCGTCTTCCTTCTCCTGCGAGACTGTTTATCCGCGATCGTTGGGTTCTGTCTGTCGCGCTCGAGGGATCGGCGTTCGAAAATACAAGCAGGCGAAAGCAGCAGGTCTAGGATCAGGTCTCTGAGATGGAACGCGCGATCACGTCAGTTTAATTTAAAAATTCAGGCAGATCCCAGATCAGTTGTTTAGGCTGTTAGTCCGTTACGTATACGGAGGGTCTTTAAAAATCATATTAAAATTCTAACGGCTTTTGAAACCGTAAAAGGACTGTAGATGGTTATGTATCATATGTAGCGTGTGTGTTTATTGCTTTGAAAAGGAAATAAAAATAGGTTATGAATACAGTATCACAAAATATTTTACACATATATTAGCAGTTTACTCTTTGTTTGGACCTGATTTAAAGAATGGGTTGTTCTTTTATTTTGGTTAACACAGCATACTAAATAAACATGGAAAGAACTAGAAAAATGTAAGCAATCCGAGGCTGCCGCCGCGTGGTAGTGAGCGTCAAAACAGGGAAATAAAACCTTTATTTTATTACATAACCGCATTGCATTCCACTAATGAGCAAAATATTTAGACAGAGAGAGAGAAAAGATATAAAAATAAACCGATTTCATAGTTTAGGTCAAATTTGACATGGACCTGCTTACAGTTGAATAAATAAATAAATATTTATGAATACATTTATGAAATAAATAATAATAATAATAATAAAGTAGGTCGATGACGTAATGTATCGACAGTAATACAGCAGATGCATAAGTTATCCCCAATTTTTCTTACTTTCAAGAAGATTTTAAGATCTATATTACCTCCTGTATCAAAAAGGCAACTAAAACTTTGAATGTACAGTATGTTCACTTTTTGATGTTAATTTTATGTATAATTTTTATGATTTGTAGGAAAGATTGTTATGTTTATTGTTATGTGATCTGTTTAATTTTTTGTCCATTTATTTATTTGTAATGTAATTGGTTTTTGTTGTTGTTATTTTATTTTTATTTTTATTTTTTATTTTGTATTTTCTCTCTCTCTCTCTCTCTTCTGAATTTGAATTGCTATGTATTGTTTGTCCATCCTTGAACCCGTCTTTTTTTTTTCTTGGCATATGTTTTTCACTTTTGTATTCCTTAAAAAAGGAAATTTTTTTTTTTTTATTAATTGTTAATTTTTCAATTAATTTGTTTGGCTAAATATTACATATTCATTTTTCAACCTACTGATTTTGCCATTTTTACACAGATTTGATTAATTATTGGTATTTTCATATAAGCTATTGCTCTCTGAAACTTAAAAAAAAATAATAATAAAATGCATCTAAAAATGTTAAAAACAAAAAACAATAGCTATATCAAACCACCAGCTATTTTATACAGATTTTATTCATTACTGCCATGTTCCATATAGCTGCCGGTACTCACTGAAACTGAATAAATACATGAATAAATAAATAAATAAATAAACTGGTCAGTAAACTGGCTAAAATACCTATAGGTAGGGATGTGCCGAACGAGGCTTTTGAAGCAGTGAGGCTTTTACAACAAACTGCGTTGATGCTTCGAAGCTTTTGACACAGTGCTCTACCCCGCCATCTGTTGGTCAATAAACATTATTACACCAACTGTATAATCATTTTTACTTGCATCAAACTTGTGTCTTTTCACATAAATAGAATGTTTAATACGCCAATAAATTAGACCTACGTCATTTGTCATTGCACCATTTTTGTGTCTTCCTTACAAAAGAACACAAACACGCACATTGTTAAAAAACACAAATGCACAAATACAAATGCAGTTATTGCAATAATATATTTTTCTCGCCAATGTGAGCTGTTGACAACTGAGGACGGCGTTTACAATCAGCAAAAATGTTTGTGTTAGTTTATCTTGTGTAATTTTTGCTTATTAGTATGGTTGAATTGGATCACTGAAGGTCAGCAGCAAATTGGTTAATGAAATGGGATTAAATACTTAGTATATTTGTATTATTTCACATATTTAATTATTGCAGCTTTGAGTCATATTCTGAATTGCGTTTAACTGTTTTTATTAATTCTGTAAATGGGGAAAAAAAGTAACTGGCGTTACTTATTTGAAAAAGTAACTCAGATATTTTCTTATAAATTAAAAAGGAATGCGTTACTTTACTAGTTACTTGGACAAAGTAATCTGATTACGTAACTTGCGTTACTTGTAATGCGTTACCCTCAACACTGACTATAACATTGGACTAAATGGATCGCAGGTATGTATTTGAGCCTAGCGTGACGTGTCAGTGACGTAACGAAGCTTCGTTTTCACAGGTCACGTGACAGCCTCATTTCAAGCAATGCTCTGTTTCGAAGCACTAGTGTGTCAAAAACTCGAAACGTGTGTCGACACTAGGTGTCGATCTACCCATCCCTAGAATCAGGGGGTAGGCTAAGGAAGTAAATATATGAAAGAACTCGCATATAGAAACTGTCTTAATTGCTTTCTTATAGGGTATATGTCAAACGTCACCTGACCAAATCCGGAAAACGGGCAAGTTCAAGCTCAAACCGGTGTGCATTTTCAAGGCAGTATCGTCGATATCGATACCGATACGATACTTCTGAACTAAACTTTTAAATGATGAAATTTATTCAGTTATTAAATTACTAAGAGTAAAATGGGTAATCATAACCACTTAACTTTATGTTTAAAACACATTTTGTACGCATTATTATTATTATTTCAAATAAACAAAATCACTGGTAAATAAAACACCTTAGTATCGATATTTTTAGTTTGAGTATCGATACTTTCGATACTCGCGTCAGTATCGATATATCGATTAGGATCGATACGCCCATCCCTATTTCGAGGCACTAGTGTGTCAAAAACTCGAAACGTGTGTCGACACTAGGTGTCGATCTACCCATCCCTACCTGTAGGTTATTACTGGTGTAAAATATAATATATTACATTGATATACATCAGGTCCAATCTCGCGCACGAGCCCTCCGCTTCCTCGTGCACGCGCGTGTTTATCGCCTCCTAAATGTTTCTCCCGTGATGCTCCGCGAGGACGAGAAGCAAGATGGCGGACGCTCTGGATGAATTTAAGAAAGAAACTGGATGCGTCCCGATCCTCCATCCCGAGGTAACAAAAAACTGCGTCTTTATCCAGCTGCAGCACGGCAGCGATGCGAAACGAAGTAAAAGCGTTATTTCTACCGCGAACTTCTCACAGTGAAGGAGAAGGGCTGAATCCCCCCCACTGCTGCGTATTAGCATTGCTGCTAACGTTAGCCTTTCATACTCCTTGATTATGTTTTTATCTGTCGTTTCATCGCATGTCTAATGTCATATTTTAAGGCTGAGGTGTGTTTTTATGCCATAATGTGCAGTGGCAAACGTGACATTAGCATATTTGTGGAAGTCTTCACAGTGTGTTGTGCTGCATTTGCATCTAAATGACAGACAACATTCACAAACACCACCATCAGTTGAACATTGATTGTGCCATATTGTTTTATTACTATGCCTTTAGGACACTATAGAAGTCTGCGTTTGACTGCATTTTGGTGAGATTAATATGATGACAGATCTGTTTCTGATCTCTGACTATATTTTCGTTAATATATTCATAGATAAATGTTATCATCACTGCTGCAATGATTGATTTGCATAATTCCGAATCATTTCCGAAATTTGCATTGACCGTATGTGTTGATGTAGAGAAGTTTTGCATGAAACTTGTAATTCTTCCATATAAAGCTCCATAGTTTTATATGTGCAATAGTTTATAAACAGGTTAATTACTAAATCATAACATGATGACACCTCAAAAATGCAATCAATGAAAAATAACTGCATTCATTTTCACACTTCTTTATTGCAAACCCAGAGTTTAGCTCACTGCTGGTGTGTGTAGTGGGACTGCGTGCTCATATGGGACCTCCTGCTGTAAATTATTCATACTCAAGCAGACTGACCATAGAGCTGATCACACACATGTAGTAGTGCTGGGCGGTATGACCAAAAATGTATATCACGGTATTTTTCAAAACTATACCGGTTTCACGGTACATGACGGTATTTTTTTTCATGCATGACCAGGTGTTAACCATATTTTCTTCTGATTGAGAGAGGAAATACTGCAGTATATTGACTTAGAATGTCCTATTTTACTGTCATGATGAGTGAATATTGTCAAATAATACAACACTAAATAGTTACTAAACACGACCCCTTTTAATATGTTAACCAGGAGTCACTCTCACTTATAATCACGGCATCGTCTGATAAAATCAATATGCATCTACACTAAAGAGCGGCTATGCGGTTGTTTTGGCTATACAACAGTGAAAAGGGACCCCTTTCAAACAGTGTCGCGTTCCGAACGTTGTTTAAGCGACATACACTGGTATTGCGGTATTTTAAAAATTCATATCAAAACAAAAATAAACACCGGTATTCAATATGAACCGGTATACCGCCCAGCACTACATTCAATGATACTAAAATAAAACTGATTGAACTGCAAAAATCCCATCAGGACAGAAGAAAACCCCTCTACTATACGAGACACAATCTGTGCATTTGTCTTTAGTTAATCAAAGGTGTTTGTTAACTAGAGGAAAGTCAACAGGATCTCGTTCCCTTCAGATGCTCTGGCCCTTTGTCACCTGGGTGAGCGACTTTGGGGCCACACAGTCATATAGCAAAGAGCCAGCCATCTGTTCTTTACCATCACCCATCAGATCAGACCTGAGGTTTCCTCCAAAGATGATGAAAATATTTCTGCACAGTGGCCTGTGGGTGTGATTTCATTTGCATTTCTGCTTTTGTGGCTTTATATGTAAAAATAGACAAAGAAATGTGAAATCTGACTACAAATAATGAGTTTAGTCATGAAAAAATAATGTTAATCCTGAGGTAAAAATGTTCTATCATTAATTTCAAGTTACTGTGATGCATATCTGTGGCATTGCATTGACACTGTGAATATAATTTCACGATGACTGATGACGGTCAGTCCAGAGATGTCGTTACGGACATTATGTTGATATGATCAATGGTCGACGTAATT